CAGCCTGACCTCGAGATCAGAGATTTGACAGTTTGGGTACCACAGGAGAGTGTTTTACAAATTACACATTTGCCTATAATAACTCGCAGGGCTGTTTTCATTTTAATCAGGGGGAAACCCATAAACCAAGGGATGAAGCTCTAACAGCGGAACTTCACCACTGGGGAGACTGGGGTGGGAACTTTTGTGTACGGTGTATACTTATCTGGGGGTCAGATGTCTGTCTTCTTACATGAATGGTACAAATCACTTCTGGGGGCGGAGGACTAATTCTTTCAGTGGACATAAGAAATAGCTCAGACTCTAAAAAGTAAAACCTTAGCAGGTTAAGGGACAACCTCACACTTCTGTGGAAAGGGCTACCTGGGGAAGGGGAGGAAGCTGTGCTTCAGGTAAGACAACTTACCTGGCTGCAGGATTGTTCCTGAGGGAGGGTCAATGGCCACCCATCCAAAGAATAGCATCCAGAGGTATGTCAGCAACCCCACCCTGGGGCCAGCCAGCCCTGGAAGGGAGGGCATCCATGTTGGTGGGCATCGAACAGAAGCTGTGGCCGTGACCCTGTTCTAACTAAAAATAAGACGAATGGAAGGTCTTCTGGCCACTGACATGCAGAGCATAGGGAATAGCGTTTGGAGGTCTCTATCTAGAGTCCCTAACTAGAGGCCTGAGCATCGGGACTGGGATCAGGGGCCACCTAGGTACAGGAATGCTGAGCCCTGGGCGCCCTGGTGTCCTGGGCTCCCTTAGGCACAACATACCTACCAAGACTACCTACCAAGACGAATTCGCCTTGCCCCTCACTGGTGAGACAAGTCTTTTCAGATGTTCTGCTCTGGGCAGCACCAGATCAGGGATGGAGCTGATCTGGCCACTGAGGCAGGACAGGCAGGGTCATGGTGGGGTGAGAGTGGGGTCAGGGATGACACAAGCATCTATGGGTCTGAACAACAAGTGAAAATGGACAACTGTCACTTGCCTTAAATTTTTTTTCTATGATTAACTGTTTGAAGACCTTGATCCCCAGGATTTCTGGAGTAGTAAGTCACCCTTGTTTGTAAGATATTAACAACTTTACATTCCTCCTTCAGTAGTTCTTAGAACCCGTTCCCCAGGTGTGAGCTGGGGGGCCCTTGGTCTCCTTGCACTCGGGGATGAAATTGCCTTGAATCCACCAGTTCCTGGTCTGGGCAACACCAAACCCCTCCCACCTGCCTGGGGTGTGATATTCTTCAGGCTTCTGTCTCGTGGGCTCACCTTCCACTCCCTCCACTGGGCCTCCCTGGCTGACCCTCAGCAAAAGGATTTTTCATTTCCTCTCTCTGAAAGGAATGTTGACCTCAGTTATAAGGACAATGAAGCTTTCTTTAGCTTTCTATGGACATAATTTGCTTTTAAAATAAAAATCCATTTCGAGTTCATTTTAAAGAACTTCCCAGCAGTCCTTAAAGTAAACCCACACCTAATGGTGCTGCGACAGCAGGTACAGAGTCATATGTGTCATCTCTGTGTGTTTCAGGTTCCACTCAGACGTTTGAAATCCTGTAGATGTGGACGGCGTCGCTGAGCGAAGCGGGTGGCACAGGCTGACCGCTGAGAAGACGCAGCCTGGGCCAAGGTTGGCCCCGCCTCCGGGAAATTAGCCGGTGGTTTTTGGTGGGGCTGAGGGGGGAACAA